TTATAATATTGAGTAGATAAAATAATTTTTTCTTTCGGTATGTTCGTAGAAATATGAGTCTGCGCAAGTATTCATCACAATCTAATTACAATTCATTCGTTTATAGGAAAAAGGAGATATAATGTAACAATATACTAGTATATAATATATATAATAGTATATATATAGTATATAATATAATATACACTAGTATATAATAATATAACGATATATTAATTGGTGGTTTACTTTTCAATTTACGTAATTTATGCTTCCAAACGGCGCCATGTAACTTCAGTAACGCGCTCCATCGTGACGTGCATTTCCAAAAAGGAAAAAAGAAATAATAGTACAACTAGACTTTGGATTTTTGTGCATTCAGGGGATATCTGAAGTACATATCAGTTATAATATTGAGTAGATAAAATAATTTTTTCTTTCGGCATGTTCGTAGAAATATGAGTCTGCGCAAGTATTCACAATCTAATTACAATTCATTCGTTTATAGGAAAAAGGAGATATAATATAACAATATACTAGTATATAATATATATAATAGTATATATATAGTATATAATATAATATACACTATATAATAATATAACGATATATTAATTGGTGGTTTACTTTTCAATTTACGTAATTTATGCTTCCAAACGGCGCCATGTAACTTCAGTAACGCGCTCCATCGTGACGTGCATTTCCAAAAAGGAAAAAAGAAATAATAGTACAACTAGACTTTGGATTTTTGTGCATTCAGGGGATATCTGAAGTACATATCAGTTATAATATTGAGTAGATAAAATAATTTTTTCTTTCGGCATGTTCGTAGAAATATGAGTCTGCGCAAGTATCCACAATCTAATTACAATTCATTCATTTATAGGAAAAAGGAGATATAATATACTAGTATATAATACAGATACAATATACTAGTATATAATATATATAATAGTATATATAGTATATAATATAATATAATATAATATAATATAATATAATATAATATAATATTACACTAGTATATAATAATATAACGATATATTAATTGGTGGTTTACTTTTCAATTTACGTAATTTATGCTTCCAAACGGCGCCATGTAACTTCATTCCAACGTGCCCCATTCGATACGAAGCGTTCATGTCGGCGAAAACATTAATCGTAACGTGTACGCAACGTGTTGCACGCTTTCGTCGAGACGTCGTAGCTGCGATCACAATAGAAACGCGGAGAAAGCAATGGAAAGGATTGCGCGTTCGTGCAGGCTGGAAACAAAGTGAAATCAATTCGCTTGAGCGGCTCGCGGGCAGATATACGAATCGCGTGCAAGGTCGCGAAACGTCGAATAACCGCCGGCAATTCATTTTTCCCTCGTTTCGTGCAATGGAAAATCGCGCGTTCGATTTTCCATTCGGAAAGACCACCTCCGTTCTCTTCGTCGTCCAATAATAATATTTACAAAGCAGTATCGGCGGTTCGCTGGTAAACAGCCGACAGGAAATCACTTCCGGCCCTGGCTTCGTTTCACTTTCCTCTCTTTCTCTCTCTCTCTCTCTCTCTCTCTCTCTCTCTCTCTCTCTCTCTCTCTCTCTCTCGAGCCAGGCTTTTCATGAGCCAGTCTCGCCGCGAGTAAATCGTTACGCACGTTCCTGTTGACTGTTCGTTCGCTCGGCAATCCCTCCCCCCTCGTCGCTGGCATTAATCGTTCGAGACGACGAGGTGGCGAATGAAAAAAAAAAAAAAAGAGAAAAAAAAAAAAGAAGGCGAAAATTCCTGTTTAGCAGCAGAGCCGGCAATATCGATCCTCCCGATGAAAACAGGCAGATTTCACCGGCCCGGTGCTCACCTGTGCGATACGAGACCACCCGAAAACCTCCCCTCGCCCCTTCTCCTCCCATCCGTTTGCACGCGAGCTTCCTAGAAATACACCCGTACATCGAGTATATAATACTCAACCGTTTCGAATGATAACGCGGCAAGGAGAAAGAAGGTGAAAGAGGTCAGGACAGAAGCCGACGTAACGGCGTCTCGCGTAAAATTTGTCGGGCCCTGCACGTGATTCGGCACTTTGCAAAGCATCGTTGCGTAACACGCGGGGCCACGGGCTCTGTACATACTCGCGAGCGATCCGGTTCGCAAGTACATATACTTGCCTCGCCGAGCCAGTCGATTACCCAGTCGAAATAATGGGTCGTTGCAGAGATCGGTGTGTGTGTGTGTGTGTGTGTGTACCTCCCTTCTGCACACGATTTGCATAACGTTTCGCGACAACGAACGTCAACGGAGCGGAGGTGGCGTCGAACAGTCGAAAGGAAGACGGACAGACAAACATCTCGTTTTAGGGACTGGTTTCAGACGGTTTTGCCTTCTCTCCGTCTGGCTGGGAAGCAGCGGTGAGCACAGAGGGAGGGAGAGAAAGAGACCGTGGGAAGCACGAGCGATATGCATACCCAATGACCGGATGACCTTCGCTCGTTGCATAAAGATGCCTTTAATTGACGGCGCACGCGAAAACACGTTCGCTCTCCTCTGGACCACCTCGAAGACTTTCGTACATATATCGACAGACGATCCTACGAAACTACGTGCCGAATTCCCGATATTGGATTAATTTTGGATTACTTTGATCAGTTGGCTCGATCTCGTAAAACGTCGACGAGCAACGATCGCCGCGATCTCCACCGAAATGGCACGAACTCGCCGCTCGTAAGCTCGATCGATGGATGAACGAGCAGCTCGTTTCGCGTAATTATTCGCTGGAAGCGTGCAAAACGTTTGCAAGATCAACGGGCGCGTATTTCAGTAGTCAGGCCAGGTCACTCATTCTTTTGCTTCTCTTTTTCATCTCATAGGATCAGCCATCTGGACACGATTTGTATCAAACGAAACTCGTATGCATTTCTGTTTCATTGCACGGGGGACAGGAAGCGGATCACTGCCAGCGAGCCCCGCGGACAGCGGAGTCAGCGACGTCGAGTCCAGCACGTCCTCGGGCGGTAACGAGGACGCGAATCTGTTACTGAAAGCCAGGCTCAACCCTAACTCGTCCCTTCAGCCAAGTCTAGCGTCCCATCATTCTCACTTGTCGTCAGGTAAGCGATCGTGTCCCACGTCCAATTACTCCTACTAATTCTTTTTTACGTCTAGACGGATGAGATGATAGTAATCCACAAAATAGACCGATTCGTAGTGCTCTAACTCCATGTCCGATGATATTTCGAGATTGTTTCGATCGACTCGTTTTTATTAACTCGTAATTCATTTCGCCGATGAACTGAAATAACGGTCGGAGTATTTTGAGTAACGCTCGAGTGGTGTTTTGAAACGCGAAATTATGAAAAAATTGTTTCGCAGTGATTTGTACGATTTTTGTGCATTCGTAGAAAATTCGTAGAGCATATCCAACGTACGAAAATGTATGAAATATATTCAAAGTGCAACGTCTGTAATAATATTTGCTAAACTATAACAACGAGAATCGAATGTATTGACTAAATTAAACATAAATGATCTAATTGTAAATGATACCGTTTCCATTGCAGTTTTATTGCAACGAAACGTGTCTGTGAGAATTGAAAAAAATTTAAGTAAACAGATCTAGATTGTATGATAATATTCGTCGTTTAATGGGGGAGGGGAAATTGAGAAGATATTTGTCGTCGCGAGAACAGGAGCGAGTAATTTCTCATTCGATGTCTTTATCTGACAGCAGCACTCGGCAGGTCAGCCTGTCACAGTCCTGGCGTTTATCCGTCGACGGCGGGCTTCCTGCCGCCCTCCTATCATCCTCATCAGCATCATCCCTCCCAGTACCATCCGCACAGAGGGAGCTCGCCTCACCATCAACACGGGAACCACACGATGGGCCCGACAATGGGACCGCCCCACCATCATCACCACCATCAAACGCAGAGTCTACAACACTTGCATTATCGTCAGCCACCTACACGTAAGTTGATCAAACGTTATCTTTTTCCTGCGTTCCTCCTTTTTTTTTCTTTTTTCTTTCTTTTTTTTTTTTTTAATTTTTTTCTTTCCTCCTCTTTTACACGCACAGAGATTACGTGCACAACAATTGACAAAGTGTCTCCGTCTCGGGGTTGCGAGTACGGTACAGTTGCCACATATTTTTCGGGAAATTTATGAATTTCGATCGAAATTCCGCGAAAACATCACGTCACTTTGGTTTGGTTATAAGTAGAAATTACAATTGCATCTTCCGTCTTTTTTTTTCTTTTTCTCTTTTTGGTTTGCGCGTTTTTCTGTCTTTTTTTTTTTTTTTCACACGAAAGCGCGTGAATGAAAGTTAGACGTTCCGTTGACCCCGTTTCCACCGTTCGACGGTGCCAGACGATCCCGATAGTTGGACGAATTCGATCGTAGCCGATCGATGAATTAGTAATTTCAGTATCTCGTGGCGAAAGAGAAGGATTCGACAGTCGTGACGCAACGACGACGCGGCTGAACTTTATTTCGGCTCGCTGGGTATCGATTAATCCCGGACAAGGGTAAAAAGTGTTTCAGTCTCTTAGGTAATTACGCTATTGATAAGTAACTGATAAGTCGCCGGAACAGGGGAAGTGAGAATTCGATTCCATAATACAGTTGTCTCCAAATCCGATATATATATTTATATATTATTTACATATATGTTATATATATTTATTTAAATAAATATATATAAATATATAATATATAATATATATTATATATATATATTTATATTACATTTAAAATATAATAATATACGCTTGATAAGTAACCGATGAGTCGCCGAACAGAGGAAGTGAGAATTCGATTCTGTACTACAGTTGTCTCCAAATCCGATATATATATTTATATATTATTTACATATATATGTTATATATATTTATTTAAATAAATATATATAAAATATATAATATATATTATATATATATATATATATTTATATTATATTTAAAATATAATAATATACGCTTGATAAGTAACCGATGAGTCGCCGAACAGAGGAAGTGAGAATTCGACTCTATACTACAGTTGTCTCCAAATCCGATACATATATATATATATATATATATTTATACATACATTATATATTATATATTATATATATTTATATTATATTTAAAATATAATAATTATATATATTGTATAATAATATATTTAAATATATATAAATATATTATTATATTTATATTTATATAATATATATATAAAACCTTATTTCTATATTTTACGAAAAATCGATCAAATCTCCGAAAACGTAGCTACCGCTGTAATTCGGCAAACTCTAAGAAAAATTACAAATTGATCGTTCTCGCCATTCTAGCGACCAAAATTCGACGTGTCGAATTCTCCAGCAGTGACTGACTCTATTCCCGATAGTGATCGCGACTGAATAAAATATCAAGCTAGTTCCCGATGTCCAACGATAACAATAGAAACGCACAGCGTAGACGCGTAGACGCGGAAACGGCTCGGTATTTTGGATCAACGTGCACGTTTATGCAAATGCGTTCTAAACGTAAACCGTTGGCTGATATATTTCCGGCAGTTCCGTGGAAATAGCTCGTAACACTTTAGCCGAACACAACCGGAGCGGCTTTTGCCGATTCGGCCGCATTACGAATCCTGATAAATACCCCTGATCCGCGCTTGAGAGCCTGTCGTCGTTCTTCTTACGACCGTATAAGCCCTCGGTTTTCGTACGAGATCGTCGCTTTCCCTCCGAAAATTGCCTATTTAAAGTGCAACGAAAAAACTTCGAACGAAGCTTCCGCCACCTCCAGTGTGTGATTTGTTGTGCACGGTGATTCGCGATTTTCTGCGAATTCTCCGCGACGAAACGATCCGATTAAAAACAGCCGGCGCTAGGAATATCGGTCAAGCCAAGCTCGTGCTCGATTTCCACGTAACACCGAGCGATGCCCAGGTGAACGCGTGGCTGGCCAGCTCTCGTCTAGCTGGGCCGAAACGAGATAGAAAAGGACCCGCGACTTCCTCGTGGCAGGTTGTTGATGCAAAGTGAAAGGTGCAGCGAGTTTCCTGTTGCTGCTGCAGCAGTAACAGCAACAGCAGCTTCGGCATAACTGCTGGTTCCATTAGAGAGTGAAGAGCGGGAGGGAAAAAAAAGGCACAGAGGCGCATGGTGGTGTGTGCATAGGCGAGATTCGCCTGGTCTTGTTACACGCTGGTGAATCGTACCTTGTCCTATCTGGTGTCTGAGCCTCGTCATCCATCGTCGGCAGAAGTCGCAACGACGCCCGACATCGGCCGAGCCATTCGTTCTCTTGACCCACTTGCTTTTCCCTGATTCAACGGCCCAGATTCGCTTCCTGGCCGTCGCCGCGCGCGTCGATAGGATCAGCTCGATCTCTTCCGACGTTTCCTTTTCCCTCTCGCTCCGTTTCACGCGGATTTTCTCAACCGCGTCCCCGATTCAACTGTCCACGATTTCCCTTTCGAGGGAACGCTCGCAGAGAAAATCGTCGCTTTTATCAGGTGGTTCAACAGCGAAATGTAAAAACTGAAATTAATAGAGGAAGAACGAGAAAGTGTGCGTGCGCAAGTGTTGTTGTATATAATTAACTGACATGGTTTTAGAGTATGTAATTAGCGAATTGTAAATGCATTGATTGTACGATTAATATGATATTATTATATATATTATATTATATTATTATTAATATAGAGTATATTATATACTCTATATTAATAATAATATAATATAATATAATGTAATATAATATATACTCTACAATAATAATATAATACCCTAATATGTTTTGTTACAGAGTATAGAGTATGTATATAGAGATTAATATGATATTACAATATATATATAATTGATTAACTTAATTAACTTAGCTTTAGCTGAAGTATATAATTGGTGAATGTGACTCTCTGATTTATGTTTAGCAATAATAAAGAATTAATATGATATTATATATTATTATATTATTATTAATATGTAATATTCTCTATATTAATAATAATGTAATAATATATAATATACAGTAATAATATATACTCTGCATAATAATACTATGTATTAATACTACATAATGATAATAATAATACATGATAATAATATACTCTACAATAATAATATAATATATTTGTAGAGTAATATATTCTATTATTGAGTATAGAGTATATATTATATAGAGATTAATATGATATCATAATATAATATATACAATCAATTAACTTAATGAACTTAGTTTTAGCTGGAGTATATAATTGGCGAATATGACTCTCTGATTTATGTTTAGCAATAATAAAGAATTAATATGATATTATATATTATATATATATTATATATACTCTATATTAATAATAATATAATACAGTAATAACATATACTTTACATAATAATACTAATATTAATACTACATAATGATAATAATAATATACTCTACAATAATAATATAATAATATACCCCAACATATTCTATTACAGAGTATAGAATGTGTAGAATATATTATATAGAGATTAATATGATATCATAATATAATATATACAATTAATTAGCTTTAACTGAAGTATATAATTGGCAAATTGTGACTCTCTGATTTATGTTATAGAAATAATATAGAATTAATATGATATTATATTATATGTTTTATTATATTATTATTAACATAGAGTTTATAATATACTCTACAGTAATAATATAATAATGTAATATACCCTAATATTTATATTCTTTATAGAGTATAGAGTGTAGAGTATATATTATATAGAGAGTAATATGATATAATATAATATATACAATTAATTAACTTAGCTTTGGCTAAAGTATATAATTGGCGAATGGTGACTCTGACTTATATTTTCATTGACACGATTGAAGAAATTTTAAGTGAATTTTTTTGACGCTTTCGAACATTTTCCGTTTAAATCTCTCGCAAATACATCTTCCTAAACATCAACAGTTTAACAATTGATCTCGGAATTGGAATCGATTAAACAATTTAACACTGTAACGTTCAAACTATTCAAAACGATCTTGTTTCTGCTAAATTAAATTACTAAAAGCAGAGAAGTTCTCTTTATCAAGAAACACGGTTGTGCAATTAATTAGATACTCAGATACATCGTTACTGTCCACAAATAATATTCCAACAAAGAGGATAAATCGCAAAGAGAAATTGCAGTGTGTCTCGACGGTCAAATCGTTGGATCGTTACGCGATTGCGACAGTGGTTGCGGTTCCTGGGAGATTTTCGAATTTCGAGCCGATCTCGGCCAACGAGCTCGCGGCGAAACCGATTCACCGGCAGAGATTCGGAGAATCAGCGGACGCGAGTCGCGCAATCGCGAAACCCTCCCTTTTCGTCTTGCCGATTCGACAGAACGACAGCTGATTTCGACCGGGATACACACCTGGCTCTGTCGTGATTTCAAACAGCCGTGCTCGAATTGGATCGCCGCCAAGGTTGCGCCTTAACTCGAAACGAGCCACCGAATGGAAAGCTCGTCGAAACGCCGCTCCGCCAGCTGAAATTTCGCTTCCAACCGACTCGTTTATCAATTACACGAGCGCCGCGATTATCAATTACACGAGCCACTGGGCAGGAAATTTCACCGATCTTTATATACTTTTATAACGCCGAGAGATATCGGGGCTCGGATATCGGAATGAAACTTTCGTAGCATGCATTTAATTTCATCGTGCTCGGCGCAGGATTCATTATCCTAGATTTGTAAGAATTATCGATCGTGAAATACAAAAGTTTTCGGAATAAAATTTCGTTGATAGGTATTAACTAATCTACGCACCAAAAAAATTGTTTGTTGTTAGTCAGGATGGAAAATGTCTTTAATTTTCTCCCAGTGATAGATTTATGTGATTCTAGTATGAAAATGAGAACGATTCTCGCATTTTCTTGCTCGAAATTTTTCTAACAAACTTTCAATTTCTTCGTTTCTTTCAGGTTTTTCAATCTTCTTTCAGTCGATGA